GAGTGAGTAGGTGCGTGTGCGTGCTACCGCGCGTATACGCTCTCTCATTCTCGGTACCGTGCGCGCGTGTGTGTTGTGTTAGTGTATATGTATATGTGTATGTGTATTCTGGCGCGCGCGCATTAACGGAATTCACGATCAGACACGCAGGGACTCTCAACAAATGTTTAAATGGACGCATCGTCCATTATCACCCAAGTGTCGCGGGATGACGAGCTAGGCCAGTTTAATAATGAGAAAGGTAGGTGCCTTCCACGAATACAACTTGCTGCTTTACATTTTTTTTCCCTTACGTTTTTCTTCCAGATGCTGGATGGAATCTACACCTGTTACGGGACTGCACCACACTCCTCACCTTACCTCACCTAACTTCACCTCTCCCGACCCCCTCTCTCCTTTTCACCAATGCTTCGTTTCCGACGTCTCTTTTCCTCTCGCCCTCGTTTTTGCCTGGCCTCGCCTCGTTTTGACTCGCCTCCTCGTCAAATCGTGTCTATCCCCCTTCCCTCTTTTCTTTCACCTAAGTTTCGTGTGTAACTTATTTCATCTTGGTTGTACCATACTCCGCTGATGTTTCAATTCACTTACTTCCTTCTTAACATTCAAATGTCGGTTAATATCCTTGAACGTCCGAAACAATATAACAAAATAAAGAGATGGATATTTCCTTCTAGCTTTTTGGAACTGTCAATCAGTTTCAATGAATATTTCAATGGAATTACATTTCTGGAATGTGCTCTTGATTATGGATCGTAACGAATAATATTTCAGATGCAACTTCTATTTGTTTCAAATTTAAAAGGATTCATTTTTAATCGTATTGTGTAATTTTGTGCAGTATTTATACATCTCTTTATAAGAATTATTAAATTTTATTTGCACAATATTTTTTAAATATACTTTTATACATATACATATATATATTCCTATATATATATTTGTATATACATGTTTTATATTTATATACACAGATATACATATATTTTTGGAATGACATATGTTTTTTCTCCATATAGCCCAGTTACCGCAAGAGAATGAAGTGGCCAGCAATGGTCCAGCCAGTGGCAAAAAGCCAAGAGGGCGTGGACTTCTGCGATCTCTACTTTGTTGCCTTGGTAGAGGACGTGGAAGTAGTTCAAAAAGTTCAAAACCAAGTCCTGTACAATGGGAGGATAATGGTTACTTACCACCACAAAGGACTGGATCCCAACGGTTTCTTCTCCCACCTGTCAGACATCAGGATATGCACAAGAAGTGCATGGTGATTGATTTGGATGAAACGCTAGTGCATAGTTCTTTCAAACCGATCAACAATGCCGATTTTGTTGTTCCTGTAGAAATTGATGGGACAGTGCATCAAGTATATGTTTTAAAGAGGCCTTATGTGGATGAATTCTTACAGAGAATGGGCGAACTATACGAGTGTGTATTGTTCACAGCAAGTTTAGCTAAGGTATACCTTATAAATAATATGGTTATCAATTGTATTATATGTACAAAAAAAACATTGAAACAAAAATATAAATACTTGCAGTACGCTGACCCAGTAGCAGATCTACTTGACAGGTGGGGAGTGTTCAGAGCAAGACTGTTTAGAGAATCTTGTGTTTTTCACAGAGGAAATTATGTTAAAGATTTAAATAAATTAGGACGGGATTTACAACACATTATTATTGTTGATAATAGCCCTGCCAGTTACATTTTCCATCCAGACAATGCGGTAAGTCTTATAAACTATTAAATGTAAGTGAAAAAGAATAAATATATAAATTTCACAGCAATATCTTGTTATAGGTACCAGTGGCATCATGGTTTGATGATATGACGGATTCAGAACTGTTAGATTTAATTCCATTTTTTGAAAAACTCAGTAATGTGGAAAACATTTATACGGTCTTGTGCAATAGCAATCATCCTTATAATCAAATACCTGTTGTACAGAATAGTCCAAGCCCAGGATCAGGTTCGCTTGGTGCTTCCTAGCCCCACCTAAATTCTGGCCAATCAGCCAGTATTATTGTCGCTCAATGCACTCTAAGGAGAATTTTGACTGGGATAATCCACATTACTTTTTTGTTATGTGGTAGTGGTCGATCAGGTATGGCCACTAATATCGGATATAGAGCATGAACATACCTATCAAACAGTTGTTCAATATGGAAGTGGAAATTCTGAGTCCTTCAGTGAACCGTTTATTTCAATGCAACATGAACTGTAGCTGCTTTATTGTTGATTAAAATTCTCTTTCCCGATAAACAGCAATACACTATGTTGTTAACTGTTCACAGTATGATGAATGTAATGTACCAAGTATACTGATTTAATCAGCAACATCACAGGTACTTGAAAAAAGTTCAGAAAATAGCTCAATTGGTAATAATGAATATCTCTTCCAATTATCACAAAACGGAGTAGACTTTGAATATAATTTATTGGTTTCATAAATGGATTAATGTGCGTGTTTCCATGTTTGGTGTACTTGAAACAAAAGAAGCAGATAACAAGGGTAACAGTGACTGTGACAAGTGACATACATTTTATATTGGGTAAGTGCATAAATTTGTGCTTGCTTAATCTTAATTCATGCAGAATACCTCAAGCAATATTCATATGAAAAGAAATTATGTATAAGAAATCAGGGCATAGCGTTAAGTGATGCGAACGAAAGGAAATGCTGGATTTGAGTCGTTTGATGGGCCATTCTACTTCTTTACCTTATTGTATTCTAATTATGTGCTACATCTTTGCGTTACTTTTATTGATATTACATATAAAATTTTAATGAGTTCTTTGAATATTATTAAGTAACACAAGAATTCATTTTTATATCAATTTTATGAGGCTGATAATTCCAAATGGTAACAGAAATTAGTGCATTTTTAAATTCTTTTGTTGATTACAATCAAGGTTTGGTAAAAAATTAACTAAAAAAATCTAGCTGATTTTACTAAATTAGATATCCTTTCTATGAATATACAAAGAATACTTAAGTAATTAATGATCTAAAATAATAATGCATGTACGAGAAAGATTGTTATTTTTTCAATTTTTTATCATTTTTTTTTTCTATTGAATTGAAA